AAATTCTGGTTTATTTGAGGATAAAAGCGAATGGACGTGTGAACAGATCGAATTCAACCTGACCGAACCACCTACCATTTCATGAAATATCCCCGCTATTGATACCATTTTGAAAGTCTACAGTTTGTTCTATTTTCCACATAAAGACCCCAAATTTCTACTCAAGCTTAGCAGACTTATGATTGGTTTCCTAAAAACAAGTTGAGCTACTCAGTAATAAATTGTTATACATTTCGAAATGAAAGAGAAATGAGTATTTTCCAGATAACTGTTGATAAGAGCAACGCAAGACTTATGATTTTCCCCCTTGCAGTCAAGTATGGTTAACTCATCGAATCATACATTGCAGATTTTCCCGATGTGTTTTTTTCAGAATTCTATATTAAGCTTTTTCCATAAAACTTTCAACGCAGTCCATACAAGGTCAATATATTAAATATAACTGGGTTGTTTTCATCACTAGTGTAGACTTTTGCTATGTTGATAACGATCCACGCGTAAGGTACAGAGGTAGTATTTGGGAAATGTCTGTTGCGGTCTATGAGGCTATTCCTGTGGATGGTTCACTTCAGCTCTTGCACTCATCAACGATTTCACACAATTAACTATGATACTCATTTATAATCATATTGAAACTTCTGAGAAAGTGAGCTTTCTGCATGTACAGAGTTCACCAAGGCTACTAATCGAGTTAACTAAACATGAGTTATACATATTTGACAGAGAATGAAGGTGGGTGCATGGATGAGTGTGGACCTTTTTCATACCTACAACCACTCATCTCAATGTCGATATTGACAATTCTCCAATCCAAATTCTAATTCGTATTTCTTGACCTCGATTTAGTTTCTTGAAACTGTTGTGTGTAGATAAGTAGCAGTGAAGATGTGGCACGCATTCATATCATACAAATAAATAAAAAAAATGTATATCCATCGTTTAAAAAGACTGAGACAAACATTCGCAAATATGATATAGCATATACAGGTTCGAAAAATGTTTTTTCTCACTATTCTGAAAGAACTTGCAAAGTTGCACCCCTAGTAGTGTCCACACATCGGCACCTGACGCCTTCTCACCCAACATAAAACTATGTGTTCTTCGCTGATTAACAGTGGTTAATCGTGCAAAGATATGAGAAAAGCATAATCTTTTCCTTTCTACTGATCTTACTCATCTTATGATAGCGTCATCGACACTTTTTAATACAGATACCCACCACAATCGATTTCTGTGGCAGACAAATCGAAGATCTCCAAGCACAATATATGTCTGATGCATTACGACATCACACGGTGATCTTCTATATCTTTTCATCTCTTTCTCATATAACTATCCCTACTTTTTGTACACAGAACATCACCACGTTACTTCTCCGTGACAATTTAATCGGACATCAACAAGCACAAATGTTGGCTGATGCGTTACGAGATAATACGGTAATCCTCATTATCTCTCTCTGATATTTCCATCTATAATTTTTCACATAGACACTCACCATACTTGATCTTCAATCGAATCAAATCAAAGACCTCGGAGCAAAACATCTAGCTGATGCATTACGAAATAACAAGGTGATTCCTCTTCCTTGTTTATTTCTCTCATAGGCACAACTCTACTTTTTCACATAGACACTCACTGCACTCAATCTCGATTGCAATCAAGTTGGAGCTCGCGGAGCACAACATTTGGCTGATGCATTACTATATAACACTGTGCACTCATACTTTCTTCATTTTTTTTTCATATATCTATCTACACTTTTTCACACAGACACTCGTCACACTAAGCTTTGGTAGCAATCGAATCAAAGCTCTTGGAGCACAACATCTAGCTAATGCATTACAAAATAATACGGTGGCCATTATTTTCTATTCATCTTTTTAATATTTGATATCTTTACTTTTTCACACAGACACTCACCATACTAGATCTAAGACACAACCAAATCGGAGACATAGGAACACAACATCTAGCTCATGCATTACAAAAAAACATGGTAAGCGTCATTCTCTTTTCATTTCTCTCATATTCGTATATGTGCTTTTTAAATAGACACTCAACACACTAGCTCTCAGTAAAAACTCCATCGGAGATATCGGAGCACAACATCTAGCTGATGCATTGCAAAATAACATGGTGAATATCCTTCTCTCTTAACCTCTCTTATTTATATTGCTGCAACTTTTACACAGACACTGGCCACACTATGTCTCCAACACAATCAAATCGGACCTTTCGGAGTACAACATCTGGCTAATGCATTACGAAAGAACACGGTAATCCTCATTCTCGTTCAATCTCCCTCATATATTCATTTGTGCTTTTTCACATAGACACTTACTACACTATATCTCTCGTCGCATCAAATCGGAGCTGTCGGTGCACAACATCTGGCTGATGCATTACGCTATAACACAGTGACTCTCATTCTCTCTTTAGTTCTCTCACATAATCATCTGCACTCTTTCATATAGACACTCATCACTCTATACTTTGGTAATAGCCATATCGGAGATCTCGGAGCACAATATCTGGCTGATGCATTACGAAATAATTCAGTGATTCTGGTTCTTTGCTGGCCTCTTTCATATATCCTTCGCTATTTTATTCACACAGACACTTATTGCACTCAATCTCGATGGCAATGAAATCGGAGCTCACGGAGTTGAATATCTGGCTCATGCATTACAAAATAACACGGTCAGTTTCATTCTTTCTTCATCTCTCTCGTATTCCTATTTGTACTCTCTCATACAGACACTCGTCACACTATATTTTGGTAGCAATCGAATCCAAGCTCTCGGAGCACAACATCTGGCTGATGTACTACGTAATAATACGGTGATCCTCATTCTTTTTTCTTCACCTTTTTATGATTTATTCTTCTGTATTTTTTCACACAGACACTCACTACACTCAATCTTGATTGCAATCAAATCGAAGCTCACGGAACCCAATATCTAGCTGATGCATTACAACATAATACGGTGGCCCTCATTCTTTATTCATCTCTCTCATATATTCATTTGTATCGTTTTTTACACAGACACTTATCAGACTAGATCTCAGACACAATGAAATTGGAGCTCGCGGCGCACGACATCTAGCCGATGTATTACGAAATAACACGGTGATCTTCATTCTTTTTTTCATATCTTTATCCTCACTTTTTCTTATAGACATTGATGGCACTGGCTCTCAGTGGCAATCGAATCAAAACTTTCGGAGCGCAACATCTGGTTGATGCGTTGCAACATAACACGGTGATTCGCATTCTCCCTTCATTTCTCTTGCATAATCAACCATTCTACATTTTTACATAGACACTCACGACACTAGAAGTCTCGAAAAATGAAGTCGGGAACGCGCTTTTCGATCATTTGAATGAACTTATTGGGCAGAATCAACAGGGAAAAATAGTAAACATGGATATTCATCATGCTATGTCGAAGAGTCAAAATGAGTAGTTAAGCTTTTGACCTGTTCTTTTTGAATGATATTTTTTAATATTAAAATAAAGCTGTTGATTTTCGATGTCTGATGCTTGATACTTATGAAATTTTATTTGTTTTAGCACTTTAAACCGGTACAAACATATCAATATTTCTTTTGAGTTGTGTTTCATCAGTGACTTCAGTAACATATATCATCGTGTACGTTCCCATCGTTCATGATTTTTTCATACAGATAAACACGTTTTGAAAGTAGTCGTGCCAATACAGAATGTATTGAACTTTTAATTTCAAATTGTTGTTAATAGTGTTAGCTGTGTGACTGATGGTTTATTTATTTGTACGGTCTGAGGAAATGATGATATCAATATGTGATTGAAATTCAATGTTTATGAATTGAATTGCAGAATGATCAACAAGTTTCCATTTTGTGAAAATCAATCTATTTTTTTCTATTAATAATAAACTGAGCGCTGCATTGCAATTGTTTATGAGGAATAGGAACTATTCTACAATTGAGTTGTCTTAACTGACACGTGATTTAAAAATAAGCTGATATTTTTTACGGTTAACATTGTGAGGTCATGAAATAAAAGTATTTATCTTATTGGACATTGATATACAGATGATAGTTGAGTACCTTCAATGAAGAAGAATTCATTTTTAAACGAATATATATGCACATCTATAAAGCGTGCATCTGTGTAATCAGAATTGATATGACGAAGTCTTGATCGAAAATTGGACTGATTAACTAAAAGAAAAGGCCAATTCAACTTGTCACATGACTTGATTTGGAACGAATCAGAACAAGTTTTCAGAATCTGCCAGCTTGATTCAATTTAAAAATGAAGTTGCTGCTAATTTCTAGTGAAATCATGAATTCACGGAATAAAACTCAGAAAAATAATGTGACGTACTTTTTTTCTAACATCTTGTCAGGTGCTTGCTAAGAGGAGTCAGAATTATACTCTTTTAATATGTTTTGTGTCCTTAATGAACTGGTTCTCCATTGTAGGTGAAATTTCAGAAATGGTGCAGATGAAGAGACGACTTACAGCTGAGACTTGCTGATTGGCTTCTATCTTAGATATACGGGTCAGTCTGGTTTTCCATAAATTTACCCAGACGGTCATCATCATCCCCAGCTGAGCCACATTTCGTAGCGGAGTGGAAGCTTGTGCACCTTTTATTTGTGTGAATGATTAGAGCTTAAAAAATATCTTTTGAAAGAAGAATATTTTTTTTTAATTAATATATTTCGAATTCAAAATATATTTTTGAGCACAGTTGAGAAATCAGACTTGTCTAAAAAAGACGACACAGAAACTTGAATCTCTAAGAAAGTTTTCGAGTTCTGGAACTTATCGTTCTAAAACATGCATCAATTGTCGTTATCGAGATTCATCTCGAAATTGAACATTCAAAAAAAAAACAAAGAAAACCATAGGTAGTTTGGCGAGCTGTAATTCTCATTGTAGATTCTTGAATCGATTGGCATCATCTTTTTATTCGAAGGCTTGATTAAGATTTGCTGATTTTCAATTAGTGAACAATTACCGCTTCGATGATAGAATCTGGTGTTTGAATTGGATATATTTTTTTCAGTTCAAATCCAGCTTTATTCAATAATTGTTCATATTCATCTTGTGTACGTTCACGAGCATCGTCTAATGAAATCGCCATTCCGACATCGAATGCATGTGATTGCCAATTACTTAAAGCGTGATCCGGTAAAATTACATGTTCAATTATGAATATAGTCGTTGGTGTATCTTTTTGATTGTCATTAGCTTTACAAATCGATGATAAAATTTCCAAACATTTATTATCATCGAAATCGTGTAAAATATGTTTTAATACATAGGCATCTGCTAATGGAACAGTTGATGAATCATAGATATTACCAGAAACAAAACTCCATTTGTCTTCATGTATTTTACGTGATTCGAACTCTTCACCATTGTTAAATTTATTAACAATATGTGGTAAATCAAAGACAGTTCCATGTTGAATCGATGGATACTTTTCGAGAAGTTGAGCTAAGAATGTTCCACGATTACCACCAATATCGACAATGGTTTTGAAACGACCAAAATCGACAGCTGTCACCAATTGAGAGCCATTTTGCATTGAAAATGCTGTCATAGCACCACTAAATAGTTTTAAGAATTCATCTTGATCCGGTTGACTCATAAGTGTATAAAAATCCATACCACCCGAAACACGAGCTATTCCAGTACCTGTACCCTCTCCACGCACCATATTTGGTAAGTGCAAACCAGCGCTAGTACACATTGGTCCAAAGTTCAAACGAATAAGATCTCGAACATGTGATGGATGATCTGACGTCATCATGATACCAGATGTAGTAAGAATAAAATGTTTGTCATCATTAATTGATTCGACAATACCGCCATAAATACATGCACGTACTATTCGATAAAGCAAATCTCTATTCCATTGTGGTTGATCATTACCAATGATTTCTTCAACGGTAAAACCACAATCCAATGGAGCGTCTATAAGTCGGTCAGCTATACCAAGATCAGCAAATGTGTAAATAGCTTGGTTGATCAATTGATGATATATCATTGACAAAAATTTGGGCAATCCATCGAGCACTAATGGGGAGACCGGTGCAAAAGCCATCAAGACGTAAAACAGATAAATATGTCGCGTTATTATATACTACAAGACAGGTAAGTTAAAACAGAGAGAAAAGAAAAAGATAAATACAATCTATTATTCATTTGACGTAGGGTACACCAAGGGCAAAGATCAAGTAGAATTTTTATTTTACTAGATAATACAAATGTTTAACAGAGCTTCATTTCATGACTTAAAATATCTACTTTCAATGTTTCTTTTTTCAATTAGTTTTGATTGAAAGTTTTCAAAATACAAGTTAATATGAAAGATTGATTCATTACAAAGAGCTTTGCATTTGAATCATATGGCATCATTTTATTTTTATGAAATCGATTTGTTGAGATTCACCGTCAAATATTGTGTAGTAGGAACTCCGTTCTAAGTGCAATAGAAATCGAGTTAAAGCAATATTAAGTGTTTTCAGTAAAAGGCTATTGAATGAATCTAACAAACTAGCAGAGTAGAACTTCTAAATACAAATATTTTCGACATGATAACATTTTAGACTATGCGTATTCAACGACAAAAATTGTTATAGTTTTGATTTATTCGTTTATTTGATATTTTTAAATAAATTTTCTCTGAGATTATATAGAGTAGTCTAAGAAAAATAAATTTTAAGATTATTTAACGAATAATTGACTTTCATTAATTATTCCCTGAAAAAGCTATTTTAATTTATGATTTGGTTGAATTTAATCAAAATGTGACGTATTTAATCGTTTCTCATCTAAGAATATCACATTATTCAATAGTTTTATTAGTATTGTAATTAGCATGTGTAACTCTCGTTATGAATAACACTATTATTTTATATTAGCTGCAGGTATACTTTTATAAAAATAATCCATTTGAATCATAGTTGAATGAAATATTATTCTTTAATTTTATGCACAACATTTATACCAAATAGTCTTTTTTTTTTGTAAGTAGTTAGTTTCATTTATAGGTCGCTTTCTTATTTTCATGACATCTGTACGAATAGGCATGTAATTAAAAGTAATGGGTGAATGATTCATGTGCGCATAGGTATACGACAGAAATCGGAATATATTTTTGTTACCTGTTTTTCGATCCTTTCAATATTATTTATTACTTATTTACGACATACTATAAAATGTAAATATCGTAAAAAAGATTTATTTCTTAACGATAAAAACATGTATATCAGTCAGCTTTTCTATGAATTTTCTTTTCTTATCTTAATATTCAAAGTTTTTACGATTCAATCCGAAGAAATTCCTTATGATACAATAGTTGGTTTTGGTGATTCAAATACTGATACTGGAAATGTTTATAATTTAACAGGTTATAAATGGCCTGCTGTTCCACCTTATTATAATGGTCGATTTTCTAATGGAAAACTTTGGATAGAAAAATTAGGAATATCTAATCTTATCAATAATGCATATGGAGGTGCAACTACTGATAATAACTTAGTACAAGGTTTTACCGCACTTAATTTGGCGGTGCCAGGTGTTCGTCAACAGATAACGAAATATATCAATACTACTAATTTAACTCAAGTTAATTTTCATCGAATAATTTATATAATTTGGGCTGGTGCAAATGATTATTTTTATAATATAACTTTACCTGCATCAATTGTTGTTAAAAGTTTAATCAATGGAATAAATGATTTAATTCAAATAGGTGCAAAACATATTCTTATTGTTAATCAACCACCTCTTCAAGCATATCCAGTTACAGCGATTTTAAATATGAGTAATTATTTAAATAACCTTACACTTGATCATAATAGTAATCTATATAATTCAATTCAATTACTTCAATCAAATTATTCGAATATATCATTTAAATTATTCGATATTTATTCACTCATTTCAAATATTCTTATGAATAGCACAGCATATGGAATAAATAGTACGAATAAATGTTGGGACACACCAAATTACACTGTTGTTGAATTATGTTCAACTCCTGATAGATATCTTTATATTGATAGATATCATTTTACTAGTCGTGTACATCAATTAATTGCTGATAATGGACGACAATTACTTGTAACTTCAAATGAAGCTAGTAAATCTTCTCAATTTATTTTTTATATTCTACCTTTTTTATATAGCCTTATATATGTAATAAAATAATATTTTTAATCTTATACTTGTTAAGATTTTCTTCGTCCTAAAACTTGAGTATATTTCATGATGAAAATCTTCAAATTCAAAGGTTTCAGTCGATTCTTCATGTTAAAAAAAACTAATGTTTATTTAAATAATAAAATATAATTAAGCTGTTAATGAAGAAAAGGATTTGGATTTCTATTGATATTTAACTAAGCTATAGATTTTTCTTTCTAAATCATAATTTGGAACTTTCGTCTAAAACTTGGTCTATATAAATAACTTTACTAGAATAACTTTCATTAAAAAACTCACAAGTTTCGAAAAAATATCTAGCTCTTGAAAGACTTTGTTCAAACTTTCTGGATTTTTTTCTAGAATTCGGCACAGTTGAATTCTCTATATGCGAAAAGCTGCAAATCAAAATTCGAAAGCATGAGGTTTTCGAAAACTTGGTGCCTCTAGAAAAAAAAATCGATAAGCTTAGTCAAATCCTTTTGGTTTTTTATTAGAACCCTATGCAGTATCAACAAACAATAGTCATTGGAGTTAGAATAGGAAGACTACAAAGTTTCTTTCGTAAGTCATTGAATAATATTCAAATATTTTCTATTAAAAATGTTCTAAGAGACTATTTGTTCTATTCATCTCCGAAATCATCTGTATTTCATATAAGGGTTGTCGGCTTAAAAGGATAAGTCAGAAGACGAAGTTTTCGTCTAGCCTTACCTGCCATATAATATTCAGTTTGGTTAACAGTTCATATTAAAGCTGTTGGACTGGCTTTATTGTTTTGGAAAACAAATTTTTATACGTCAACATACTATTCAAGTGTACTTTGATGATTCTACTCGATGACAATATCAAATGTTTGAACCAAAAGATCAATTTAATTTTGTAGAATTTACATTGACTGACCGAAGAACTTGTTCAAAGCCGAAACAACAGAATAAGAACAACTTTTCCTCGCTGCTGTCTATTTTATAGAAGAGACTTATTTAAAGAATTGACTAAGTACTACAAGAGTTTATAATCATGAATCAGAATGCATTCGTCTCTACCACTATTAAAGAAATTGTCGATATATTCACAGCTTTATCAACATCTTCAGTCATAGTCGTCAAAGCCTGAAGTTCTAAAACGTTTTAAATGCAAAGCCATGATGTCAGTCAAAATCTTCAAGTATTTAAGTGTCTTTAGAAACAATGTCTTGAAGTCAGTCAGAGTCGTTACCTTATAAGATTTTTATATTTGCTGAAGTTAACACTTTTATCGGTATATTTTTTGGAACCAAAAGCCTCCTCATGTTCAAATCATCAAAAGAGTTTTTATCTTAGAGTCATTAGATTTTCGTGTCTGTTTTGTTCGGAAAGGTTTTCAGTATTTTAAAGTCAAAGTTTCGGGGATAGTAATGTGCAAGTCTTTTGAATCTGTAATGTTAAAGTCAGTTGATGTCTTTAGGTTAAAGAGGTTTTATGAATGTTAATGATAGTTCCTTTGTCTGTAGTCAAAGTGGGTGTGAATGTGGGTGTGAGTTAAGGGAGCAGTCACACCAACGCCCCACTCACACCCACACCCACATCCCACCCATACCCACTTTTCTATTTATTTCCCATCTTTCATTAGTTATAAAGTGGAGGTCTCTTATCTAACATGAAGTCTATTATTTATGTATCTGATTACGGATATCTGATAGAGTTTCCAAAAAGCTACCGTCTCGAACTAAAAAACTACTTTATAGAAGTACAGCAGTTGAAAATATAATTAAACTTGAACAGAACAAAAATGGACGAATATTCAGAAGAAAATCAAAAATAAACTTTTCTAGATGTGTTTCTCGAAATCGAACTTTTCACAGAAATAGTATTCTTTCACCCGATTTCGACAGCATTGCAAGAAGAATCGTACTAAAGCTTTCTGTTACATATACTAGTCACTGTTTCGCTTGGATGTAGACATAAGCATGATTCATATCTTCGCAAAATTTTCTTGAATAACTTAAACAAAAAAAAAAATGAAAAGTGTTGCTAACAAGAATAGCAATCTAGTAAAATAAGTTGGTACTAAAAAAACGTTAATAACAGCAATCATTAAGAGTTTGAATGAAGCATTTAAAGAAATTGATCATCATGCTAAAATAAAAATCTATTGGCTTTTGTTGAGAAGAAATAGCCGATTATACTATTTAAAATAATGAGTACCTATTGCTGAATGCCTTTAGTCATCCTTTCGCTCAAGTCTAGGGTTAGAATGTGGGTGTGAGTATAAGTGAATAAGATCCCCACTCACATCTCATCCATATTCATACATCATGCTTACATTCATTAAGACAAATATGATAAATTTAAAAAATTTTAGAAATCTGCCACTTTCTTATTTACTAACCGTAACTTCATTAAAGTACCCATGTGAACTTGAAGTACTGTTTTGGGTGCTTGTGTGGATTTTCTTTTCAACGACGCTCATGCTCACAAACTGCTTTTTTTTCAGCAACAATATACTTGAACAATGTAATGTAACTGATTGAATTGCATCCATTCGGTACTGCTAATTATCCAATGTATTTAATTTTTCAATTTGTTCATATTTTATATTTAAGTGATCGTCATTAATAGATAATTTTCTGATCATTCAACAAGACACCATCACTAAAGTGAGCATTACAGAATGAGGAATGGGTGTGAGTATGGATGTAGATGTGGATGTTCTCTTGACATGTTACTACAACCACACTCATAAGCACGCCCACCCTTGGTGTTGGCGTATGATCTGTCTAATTTAATAATGGCTATTTTACCTGCACATTAAATGAGTCGCATTTATTCAAGATTTATACCTAAACATGATTCAACAAAAAAATAATATGATTAGCATCAGTATTCTGATAAACCTAGGAGGCATAATACGAAATTCATAGTAATTAAATGTTTTAAGCGATCTGTTCTCGTTACCCCATTACTACTTTTTTCTTACAAAATTGTTTCAATTTTCTTGTTTTTCTTCAAATTTGTTGAAATCTTTTTTTTTCGTATTTGGTACTTTTAATTGACATCCAGAGCCTTGATAAATGTTCGCATCTTAAGAAAAGATGAAAACTGCATCGGCCAATTAAAAGTGATGTTATATTCATGGATTATTTTATTAAGAACAATATGTATACTTCAAATTATTTCGACTTACTTTATAGTTAAAAATCAAGAATTAAGAATAAAAGATCGATTCCTGTCATAGACATACCGATCTTTCTGCTTTTCAATTGATTTATATACATCCACCTACCAGCTGGAAGGCTAATGATGCTATAATTATTATCAACAAGTCTCATGATCTCTTTCGTTTAGTGCTCATATGCTCCTCGCACAATGTGAGAAGAGACGAATACTTTTTTAGCATCACTAGATTTTCAGAGTTTTTGAAAAATGTGAACACTTTATTCCAAAATTCAATTTGTAATGACAAAGACCATGAACTCGGTCTCGTACGATTTTGGCGGCAGCCTTTACTGGAAAGAATAGAGCATAATGAAATTATAACTTATTGTATTTCATGACGACAACGAGAAAAAAATTTCACATTGACAAGAAAATTAATTACACATTTATTGGATTAATGACTTATGCAAAGAAATTGAAAAAGATATATAGGAAATACTGTATTCTATACGAATATTATATTGAATAAGTAGGCTTCATTTGTTAATTTAGATCTTTCGACTACGGATTAAACTCGAATGAAACCTCGGTTGATCATGCTTTTCAGGCTCCATCCATTGCGTGAGCCATCATCGTTGTAGAATTTCCATGTCCAAAAGGTCCATCCGCCGGGAGCACTATTGAATGCTGCGAGTTGTGCGTCAGCAAAACGATGTAGATCATCATCATTGCTAAACGCAGCCGACGATGCAATGCACCATTCGCCAATGAATATCCAGTTACCTGTCCATTGACTTATACCGTTCTTTAATTCATTCTGTGCATAGGCAATCAGTCGATTCTCGTCCCAACCCTGTACACAAAAGAGTAGAATCAAATTAATGATAGAAAAATATACACACTTCAAAACCCCAAATTTGATAACGATGCCATTCATGACGAAGATTGTAAAAAGAGGGCCATCGCATGAAATTATTCCAATCGCTGTCATAAGGTCCCTGCTGTCTGAGTAAAGGAGAAATACTTAGAAGGCAATCGGAGAAGAGACGAATACGTCCATAAGCATCATAGTAGTATTGTTTCAATACACTCTCAGGAGTTGTACCTAACAATGAAATAACCATGAAAGGAAAATTTTAAAATAAGAAGACTATACCCGATGGTTCGTTGAGTAGACCAATACCAAGAAATGCTGCTTCATCTTTATATCTGCGTGCTAACCATTCGACAGCATCTAAGGTGTTTCGAACGTTCTCCGGATAATTTCCCCAATGTGAGTTGCCTGGATCAGATGGTGCACTATGATCCATTCCATTCTGACTACCTTTGGCAGCATGAAATGAAATTAATACAAGCAGATTGTATCGCGGTGCCCATTCTCGAATAGCTCGATCAAGATAACCGATTGCATTGGGAGCAAACATTTGCCATGCATTTGGATCCCCACCACCACTATTATCAAAGCCAGTAATCCAATATCCAACAGGAATTCGAACAGTGTTCATTCTGGCAACAGCGATATCGCGAAAGTCTTGTTCAGTGATGAATGAATCACGATGCTGTCTGAATTGATAATCACCTTTGGAATGACCTTTACGAAAGAAATACGAAAGCTGATGAAACGATTAAAGAACGATGACTACCTAGATATTGCATTGTTTGATATTCGCCCTTATTAGCAGTGTCGTCCGAAACTCCACTCCAGGCTGGCGATCCTATCGTCATCCAATGTTCGGCAACAAGCCATCCACCTAAATTGACACCTCGAATAGGTTTGCGACCACTCTTGATATCTTCTCTGAGACTAATGAGCAGTGTCCTAAAAATTCAACTCGGAAATTAAACGAATACACTTATTAATTTGGATTTGCTGATATCCAGAACGGTGCCTCCAATCTTATATGAAACTATTGTTTTTGCAGAATAGGACATGTCTAAGTGTATCGCTTTTAGAATACGTACATGATAAAAATATTTCGAAACATTTAAGTAATATTTTTCCGACATATGTCTACGAAATATATCAAATAATATCACAGTAAAAAAATATCTCTTCTCTACAAGATATTCATTTTCTTATTGTCAACTGCTGGCTGCTGTTGAATGATGCTCATCAAAAAATTTTGGGTACTTCATTACTTTAAACTACAGTGGACGTCAAAAGTCTCGCACCACTTTTTTGTTTTGGTTCGCATTTCAAAAATACACAACATAAATTCAAATTTCTTTTAACATTCGGATAGTGGAGCTCGAGTACTATATGTATGCATATGCTTGCAATGAATAACCCTTGAATCGAAAACACAGAAAAAAAAACAAACTTCAGTGCTACAACAAAAACTATCCAAAAAAGACAAAACGGTACGATCGTTATCAGTTATAGAAGTTTTACTAATGTTGGAGTAATACGAAAATCGAGTAAAATTTTGTTTGGTATTTTTATATGAGTCAATAGATCTCAACGAGCTCTACAAAACTGTTTACATTAATATTTTTTAGAATCCTTTTCTGGGACAAAAAATTACAATAAAATTGTATTTGTATGCTTTTCTGGTATAAAAAAATTCTCGACTTTTCACATAGAACAAATAAAACATGTGATTATTTTGGACTTTTTTTGTCCCCGAAAAGGTTATAAAAAAATTTATTATAGACAGTTTCGTAGAGCTCGTCAAGATCTATCGACTCATGTAAAAATACCAAACAAAAACTTACTCGATTTTTGCATTACTAGGATCTTACTCAAAATCATAACAGCCATATCAGCTTGTCTTTTTTTATGTAGTTTTTGTCGTAGTACTGAAGTTTATTGTCTTTCTTGTATTTCAGATTTAAAGATTATTCATTTCAAACATACAGATACATATAGTACTCGAGCTCCACTATCCGAATGTTAAAAGAAATTTGAATTTATGTCGTGTATTTTTGAAATGCGAACCAAAACAAAAAAGTGGTGCGAGACTTTTGACGTCCACTGTAGTACAATCTAATAATTGATCATTCTCAATAGCTTTGCAGTAAAAAGCTTTATTAAAGAAAAAAGAGTATGCAGTGATCAGCAATGTTTTAAGAAATTTTAAAAGCTTAATTTAGTTCACCTATGTAGATGTTTGAGGTAGGTTTTTCATGTGAGAATAGAGAGCAAATTTAGACTTCTCAATAGAATGATATCCAGATGAGTTTTGGCTTACCCTTCAGTATAATGCCAGTCACCTTCGTACACTCAATCATCCCTGCATGTGATTTATTTCTTGAGCATTTTTTAATAACTACGCATTTATACATAAAACGGGTTATGACACATCTTGAAAATTTTGAAAAAAGAATTAGAACACCTTTTCTAATCGCTTTTTTCTCTCATAAATGACTTCATAATCAACTGTACGTTTCCGTAATTTCTCTATGTTAAAATTCTTTGGCAATTAAATATATTAAACAGCTTTTTAACTTGTAAAAAAAAGAATATCATATTTCTGAAACAAGTTCAGTTGTTATGACAAAAGGAGAGATCAAAGATGCAGTTGGTTCGATTTCATATCGGATTAAATCGAAGTCGATTCGATCTTAAACTTTCAAAAGTGAGACTGATTCGATTCATTTTCAGAAAAAACACGAAAAAATCTCTACTCTAACGCATATTCCTGATGAATTGAGGAAAGGACCATATTTTACCTGTTTGGGTGGTTTACATTCGGGTCTCCATTGTTTACACCACAGATCATCGTTGTATCATCGGTTGTGAAAGCATCACTTTTGGAAACAACACCATATTTCATCCAACAAGTGCCACTATTGTACGAAGTCCATGTAAAATGAGTGCATCCTACAGTTTCAAGACATTTTCCACCACAAAGATTAGATGCAGTTTGCACATTAGACAGATCCTTTCCACGAAAATCACATGCACTAGCCCAGTTATTTCCGTTCCAATTGATATCACACCTGACGTAACCAATAACCAAAATATTCACCACCATGAATCCAACAAAAGTCAAAGTAGACAGAATAGTCATTCTTTTGTAATTCTAATTGTTGTTCAGTCCGTATTTGTAGACAAATTCTAGAAGCAAACATTATTTTCTGTCATTAATTACAAATTATGGTTAATAAATCACATTCATTATTCGAATAAAGAAAAAGTGTTCTACAGAAGTACAATACCATATTTTATATGAACTCAATAATCTTTTAATATCTTTTTAGTCTTTTCATTAACGATCATCATGATTAAAGAATATCGAGGAAAAAAAAGAATGTTGTACACATTGATCTTGATTTGCTAACAAGTAGCGGCAAATCGAGACATAAAAAGCTATGTCTCGAGAAGAAAACATTTTTAAAATGATTCCAAGAAAAATTTACAAACATTAATATAAACTCAGCTGGTCTCAGACGAAATATAAATATTAGGTTGCTGAATAATAGTGAGTGTTTCGAAGTAAATATTTTTGTTCTCAAACTTCATTAGAAATAAAACATTGAAAATCAGGAAAAATTCGAAAACCCATATACTTAGTATAAAACCTATTTGGTGGATTCATTAAATGACAGCAGCTAGTGTAACGAAATATGAATTCTGATTAAGAGAAGCTAACACATTGCTATACGAAAAAAAATCAATTTATGATCTAAACAGTTGAAATTCACTCAGAAAACCCGATAAAAAAATAACAAAGAAATGTAACTTTTGTTGAAGTTATTCTGGATCATTTTAGAATGAGTATTCTTTACCCACTGATTTAACTCATTAGCGATAAACTCAGCTGTTCGTTTTGATATTATCTTTATGCTAGATACTATTGTTTTTCTACTCTTAGACATTCTCTAATAGAATACTAACATAAGAAATAGAAGAATGTACTTACTATGCAATTAAGATGATTGTATTAGGCTGTAGATTTTGCTTGATTAGTGATAATTTCGTGAGTGTATTTATATTCTTCTAATGACGTAACCGGGACTTTTGTCATTAACGCTTGTTGATACATAGAAGAGAAGGATTTTTACTTTGACAACGCAGGGAAAAACATTATTAGTCACCATAACTTATTTATTCTTAATTTGACGGTTTGTGATTTTGACATTCTATATCATTCATTTTCGTATTCTCTTACGTTGACGTCACCTAGTCGACAAGCTTGAGAAAGAAACCAAACTTAGAAGAAGAGCAATGCCTGTTTGAAAAGGTAAACAAAACAAATATTAGTCACCACCAGTTACTCATTTGTAATTTGATGTTTTGTCATGTCAATAGATTATGTCATTTATTTTCATATTACTTTGCTTTCACTTCTTTTCATAAACAAATGTTAGAGGCAAAAGTCCCAGCTACTTCATTTGAATAATATCGATACACTCACGAAATAAGCACTGATCAAGCAAAATCTACGATCAAATATAATCGTCTTAATTAAAATGTAAGTAGAGAGTCTCCTAGTTGTTATGTTTTTATGCTATGAGAGAAAGTGGCTAATACTAAAAATACAATAGTGTCTAGGATGAACAAAGTACTAAAACGAGCGAGTGAGCACATCACTTATGAGGTACACTAGAAAGTAAAGAATATACTTTCCAAAATGAAGATAAATAATTTTAACAAATGTTATATTTCTTTGTAAATTTTTTTACTGGATTCTTCGAGAGAATTTCATTTTTTCAAAGAAAAACTCAAGTTTTTCAAGTAGAACAATGTCTCAAATTTTGATCAGTTGAATTCTATATTTGCAAAAATGTGTTCTTCACATGTACCTCGTTATAAGCAAAGTTGCTACTATTCCAAGGTAACTGAAGATAAGTTTTTACAAAACACTTTTTTCGTGAATATTCTTTAATCTTGATGATAATTAATATGGATTTTACTAGAATAATGAATGAGATTTACTAAACATGATTTGTAATTAATGACAGAAAATAATTTTGCTTTTAGAAGTCATCTACAAAAACAGACTGTTGGTTATTGGTTACGCCAGATACAATGTCAATTGGAACGGAAATAACTGGGTCATATCATATGATTTTCTTAGAAATAATCTGTCTAATGTTCTAATTGTATTGGAGCATTGTAGTGGAAAGTGCTCCAACCCAAGACTACACTCACTTTACATGGACTCAGTACAATAGTGGTACTTGTTAGATGATATATGGTGTGGTTGGCAAAAGTGATGCTTTAGCAATCAGCGATTCAGCTATGGTCTGTGCTGTGGTGAATCTTGCTGCATCGAATCTTGACTTCGGTCTAGTGGTTTCTGTTGTTCTTGCAACACGTCATGAAGTTTATGAGTCGGATGCTTGTATACTTCCAACTTCAACTTATGCTATTGTTAACTCAATTGCTTTGGAAGATATTGAGACTTTGCAGCAACTCAAATTCCGGCCGAATTTAGGTAGTCAAGCTCTCAAGGTTGGTCGTGATAATGAACCATTAGATATTGTTATTACAAATTCAAACTATGGAGGATGTCTCGATTTTCATATTTCTAATTTGAGTAAATTCACTAACAACAAACCATCTGAACAAACTTATTATAATGCTCAATTGACTTATGTCAACACTTTTATACGCAGACTCAGTGTTCGCCGAGTCTCTATTGATAACCAAGTTGGACAACATCGGGCAGATAGCCCTTACAATGCTTTGAATTTTCGTCCAGTTGATGACAACAAACAGATTGCTTCATTTTCGAGAATAGAACCACTTATTGTGTGTTTTTTTTTCGAGATTGTCTATATCAAGGAAGTGAACAGGGTGTGGTGAGTGTGGGTGGGTGGAATAAGAAAAGAGTAACTCACACACCCACACCCACACCCACACCCACACCCTCCCTATTATTCTAATCAAAAAATCTAATAGACAATAATATTCACTAAGACAGCATAGACTCTGTACTCTCAAGGAAAATATTAGAATACAATGTTTATATAGTCAATCATAAACCATTAAAAGTATTATTAAAGAAAGCTTTTTTGTACTGCACTTTCCGTATTTACACAGTATACGTCCAATTCAAGTTTATTTTGTGCATATTTTTACCTAGCATTTGCTGTTTTTGATTGAAGTTCGATTTTATCGAAAAACAGAGGTACTTTCCATTGACATTCGTTGTTTAGAATGCCAAAAAGCATACGGAATATAAATAATTTGACCTGATGCTGTTCAGACATGAGATCGAAAACCCGTTGTTTTTGATATGACTGTCATAAAAAGGATATACAGTAAAGAAAAATTGTGCTAAAAGAATAATCATCTCAAATCAATATAAAGATTCATGGAGTTATTGTCTTAGAATGAGTTTTTGCAAAGATTTGTGGTAGTAAACCATCATGAACCATGGCATAATACATTCGAGTTTGTGAGAGTATTAGAGTCAATGCTACAGTTGTAAGACTAGCAATAGCTCCCAAATTCATAATAATTGATAACCAAAGACCGTAAGGTATAGCTTCTCTAGAAAGATCACAATAAATAGAACAAGTCCAACCATCACAGTACATATTCCAATATACAATAGTGATGAAACAACTGTAGGTCCAACAGAGGCTATTTTTAGTGACCTTCCTGATAACTTCGTTTCTTGAGCTACTGTTGAAACGGAATCAAAACCCATATAAGCAAATAAAACATAAGTACAGGCATGTAGCATGCCTGTTACTCAATGTTCACTAAATGAACCTAGGACACGCAATGATATTTATTTATTAATAACACAAACATATACCTTTATTATGTGGAAAAAATGGATCATAATTATGACGATTGACATAATTACAACAAGCAAAAGTAAATATTAAGAGTATAATAATTTTAAACATAACCGATATGAGATTGAATATAGCCGTTTGACAAATTCGAATTATAAGTAGAATTGTAATTGCAACAATAATTCTAAAAGATTATGACCTTATACAGTATCTTTACATGTTGCTAATTTTTTTACGATATTATATTTGGAGTCACTTTTCCTTTTTGAAAATTATTTTTAAAAATATTTTCAATATTCTAATAGTTATTTATATATTAATTTACTGTTCTGAAGATACTTTTTAGTGATACGACTTTTTGTAATACACATATACCAGACACAGTATCAACAGATTTAGTGCTATTGAAACATATTAATTAATTGTATCATAGAGTTCTAATAAAATATTTCAATTGCTCTGAAACATGGTCTTATACAATGGCAGTGAATATTTACTCTAGAATGATTTACTTCTCTTTTGTGGAACTCACATATATTTTCGAAGAAAATAGTCAGTGTAAGCTTTAAGTTCAAGTTTTCACGGCTTCCCCCACCCTCCTCCCCTTACAGACAAGCTCCTATTACAGACATACCCCCCATTACAGACAACCCCACATTAAAGACCATAGCAACTTGACAAAAAAAATTCTGTTCAAAGTATATAAATAAAAAAAGACAACATTTACTGACAATTAATTATCATTAGAAAAGAATTATTGTCTTTGAGAGAATTTAAACATTATATATTTTGCCATTAGTACAGTGAAACTAAAGAAGATATGTGAATTCCACATTTCAGCCTCAAAGGGACTTCGATAACAAGCTTTTTCCCATCTATTTACCATCTGCATATTTGACGATTTCTCTTTCATTCTTGTCTCATTTTAATTACATTGTTGATTCTTAGTACCTTAGACTTAATCCCATTCTCACAGTCTGATCACATTTCTTTTTGACATTCACTTTAGATTATAAAATATTTCTTGAATATCAAAATAAAAATTGATTTTATTAGGATTTCGAAAATGTAGGTGACTAAAAATGAAAAATTGTATAGCTTAAAGAGAGGCTCTCTCTTAAAATGTGTTCGTTGAATCTATGTAGCATTATTTTTTGTAACAAAATACTAAAATATGAACAGTAATATTGATTTTTCTCTTTGAACATATGATGTGAAGATTCATTTCAGGAATGTACTATGTATTTTTCATCACAGACTTTATTTTTATTTTGCAGAATAACGTTAGTCAAACATTCAGCGTTTTGCTTTTGCGACGAAGCTTGTTAAAATTATTTTAGTGCTATACGAAAACTATCGATATGTCAATTAGCATTCTCAACTTATGCCGATGATCTTGCGACATTCATAAATATTGCTCTATTTAATCGTCGCATAATTTATTGATGCGAAAAATGAAGTAAAAATTTGTCAATTTTATGTCTCTATACGACTAATTGCACTTCTAGCAGCTGTTTTGACACTAGTTTTTCTATTGTAGATTTTTCGAGTCCATGATATCTAAGCAAATGATTTTTTTTCGTTATCTATGTTCTGTTTGTGTCCAGTATGGAATCACGTCTTATTCAAGAACATCAATTGAAGTCGTGCTCATGGTTAGGTCATTGTTCTAGGGATCCATGATTAACATACAATGTATGTGGTGGATCGTTGATTTGTGTAAAGGGTAAATGCAGTAGTGATTCGTCATCAAATAGTGGTGGTGGTGGAACCTGTTCACCCGCTGGTTTATTGCAAGGCACTAAGTAATTTTTCTATTTTGTTTGTTTGCATCAGGTATGTCGAAATAATTTTTTTCTAGTACTTTATGCAATACGGAAAATTTTTTCACATGCTGTAAATCGAACGTCAATTATACACAATATACGTGCTCTCCATCATCAACTGCCTCAGCTATTCTTACACTAAATAGTTTCCAAGAGGGTGGTGACGGTGGTTTCGGTGGCACATGCTATGGAGCTTTTTATTCGAACACACGACGTGTTGTCGCTTTGTCAACAGGATAGTTCAGTCGAGGTAGCCGGTGTGGAAAAATGATTACGATACATGGAAATGGAAGGACAACAACAGCTGAGGTCGTCGATGAATGCGATTCGGTACATGGTTGTGATGATGAACATGCCGGACAGCCACCGTGTCGTAATAATATTGTTGATGGATCGCCAGCCGTATGGCAGGCACTCGGTGTGTCGAAAAACGATCCTCGGTATGGACAGTTAAGCATTTCATGGAGTGATTAATTATGAATGTTGAAAATAAGAGAATATTAATAATTCTATGAGTGTTGTGAGGGACTTTTGCCGAGAAGAGTCATAAGTTCCATTTTAATCTAATCTTTTCCTATATTTCCAAAGACAGTTTTAGTATAGGTGTGGATGTAGTTTTAAACGATACTCACACACATATCCAGACTCTCTACATAGTAATGTTAGTATCTATGTGCAAAGCGCTTGCTAGTACAAGAGTTAAACAAGCATTTAAATTTTGCCATGAACGGAAATAGAAAAGATTAAGTTTGGTTATTAAAGAACACACCTAAATCGATGAGTTATATTGGCTTATGAGCTGTAACAAATAAATTTATGTTTTGACAACATCATTTGTATTATTACTGGAACTGCATGTGAAAACAATAAATAAGTTTGTGCATTGATTGTTAATCTTATCTTTATATTCACTTCAAAAAAGATAAATATTAAGACATTAGTAATACAAAAAAAAACATTGAAATGAAGAAAATTTCGATTATTATTTAAAAAAATTTCATCGATTGTAAAAAAGAAAACAAATAAAGTGAAATGATTATATAAATGAGAATCCTATCTTTCTAAGAAAATTCAACATAAAAAGTAACTAATAATTCACTTTATCTCCTAATTACATCTCGTATGTATCAGACAGGTTTCGGGTGTGGGTGTGACTGTTTATTCATTTCATGGATTATTGTTGACTGTGATATATAACAAGAATCTAGTCTGAAACAAACTCTGAAAAATTTCTATTCAACAAAGGAATTTCCAATGATCTTGATCGAAAATAAAAATGGATGTTCAATGTTTTAAGATTTATTTCAATCTATTTTAGTTTTCAATAAACTACATTAGGTGAACAGGAATAACTATTTTTACTTATACAACATTTCAAAGACATTCTCAAGAAATTTAATTATATCTAGTTCGAATTATTTAGCAAATCATTTAAATATGAAGTGCTGGCGTGGCTGAAGAGAACACTCAGATTCAGACGCACACTCATCTATTTTGATTATCGTCCCGGAGAATTCTTAGTTTTTAAGTTTTCTAAATCGAGAGAAGTAAGAAAATAATTAAAGTTCTTCTTTCTGTATCTATAGACAATCGCATATATGAATATATGAGTGTATTTTTGCTTTTTTCGAATGAAATGATCAGATTTATAATTTGTTTCAGTTATGTCTCAATACTGTTAAGCAAAAAGCTCCAGATAATTTTATTTTTCATAATGTATATCTTTATATTGAATCACTAAGAACGATAATAATAGAATTTTCATATTCAACAATCATTCAATCTGAAAATTTACATTCATTAAAATTCAGAATTAAAAAAGAATCATAGTATGCTTGATATCTATCTCGAATATCATTAATCTAAAAATATGATATATCTTTTTTTTTTTAATATTCTTTATATCATAAAAAATTTTGATAAAACAAAAAGAAAATATGAAAAATTGTATGTTATTTGTGCATCTGATTCGAGAAAATAGACGAGGCAAGAGAGAGCGACAGAATGAAAACTTGTTACAAAAATATTAGAACAATTGAACTGAATTAAAATAAAGAGTATTAAGCATAAAGACGCAAATCAAAGCAAAAGCGAACTATTGCATATAGAAACACATTCGCACAGATGATATGAAAATAATTAAGCTCGAATATACTTCTTCTTTACGTTGTGTATAATTATGATAAGAATAAAAACACATCACACAATGGTACGATATGAACCAAATAAAGGAATAGAAATGTCCAATGATGACAACAACATATTTGATCATTGTCAATATTCATAAAATACAAAAGAAAACGAACAAAGACGATAAATATATATTTTATCAAAAATGAAAACGAATTCAACATATAGACATGAAAGAATACAAAATGTTGTTACGACAATAATCATTAATGATAGAGAGAAAATGAAAATAGCTGATAAATAGAATATATTGATAAGAATAATCGAAATGGGAGCGAAAGAAAAATCGAATTTTTGCAGATTATTTATCACCTAGTATTATGCCCTTATCGGAATTGCTCGAGCTGTTGTTGTTGCTTGTCTATAACCTTTGTTAGCACGGCGTTTACGTAAAACGAATACAACCAAGCCAACGATTAGAAGAGAAATAATTGATACAACAATAATTATTATTGGTAACCAATTCATTCTTTTTTCTAATATTGTTGTTACTCTTTGTGCATCATCATCTGGTTCCCATGTAGCCATTTTTGGCAATGTGATACGTTTCTATACGTTTAAAAGACTTTAATGCAAAATTATTTTTCTCGTGACCAAAAATGCAACACTTTTGTGCGTCTACACGTGAGAACATTTTGAAAAGCGTATGCAAGTATCTTTTATCTAAATTTATCTAAGTGCGCTCCTCATTTTTGGTGGGTTTGGTTGAATATAGAATGCAACATTTTAAAGGTGTCTGGATGCGTTCTGCCATCGTTTATTATCAAAAGCATACAGACTCGTTTGAAAACATTACAAATTTTTTTATTAACAAAAAAATAATTTGCAGTTCTTTTGAGGGTTTGGGTGTGTGAGTGCAAGTGCGGATGTGAGTGTAGATGGGAGGATAGTTTTAGAGAAGATTAAAAATTCAATTCCACATCTTTAGTTGGTATATTGAGATGTTTAAATACAGCCCTACTCGTTACTTTATTTAGTTAGACACTGTCTAAAATGTTAAATGATGATAGTTGAAATTTTTTTAGATCACATTAATGCAAAGAATAATTTAATGATTCTTGTTTTCATTTTATTCAAAAGCCATAGGAGCGTTGATTGTTAAAAAGTATATTTCACAAAATACTTTATAGTAGGATTCAATGGTCGAGAGACAATTAAAACAATCAAAAGCAAGAGACAATCAAATACAAAATAAGGTCTTTCTTTTTTTGTCTTTTAATTTGTGCTTCTATTTCGACGGATGACAAATTCAATTTCTGTATCTTTCACTTAAAAAAAGAACAAAAAAAAAATTATTTAGCTATTTTATTACTATTCTCTTAGAAATAAAACTTAACTCACATGAACTTTGTTTCTGATTACAATATATGTGTCTTTTTTATTCGATAAATTATCTCATGATACAAAGGATTTTCTTAGAATTGCTTCAATTTCTTCGCATTCTTCTAATACAACATAAGTTGTTTCTCTTGTTTGTGATCCAACTGAATAATCAATAGTTATATCATCAGTTTCAACTAATTTAGTCTAGAAAAAACAATAAATGAAATAATTTGAATTGATAATTAATATTCAACAAACATTTTTTCGAAGTTTTCGAATTCGGCTTGTTATTTCCCAAATAAGACCATCAACTTTCCAGCCGTAGCTTCAAATCATGTTCGTTTAGCAATATGAATATCTTCAGATTCAATTAGTATATCATCAATGACGGTCAATGGACCTATCATTTTCACATTTTAATGGTAATTTTTCAATATCTATATCGGTCATTTGACGGAGTATTTTAGTTATTAATTTAATTCTACCTAAACATATATATAAATATTCAAAATTGAACCAAACATTAAAAAGATGGATTCTTACCGCTCACCCTTTTGTCTAATGTTAGATAATTTGGTTCAACACCATAAAGTTCACGTTCTTGAGATTATGTTATTTTACGTACATTCAAAGTCTCAAACACAATAATAAATATAAATATCCGAAAATGATCATAGCATACTTCTAGAATAAAATATTCAAAACATTCAACGTCTTTCAACATTGATGCACCTTTATGTATAATCACAAATTCTGGTAATGGATACTAAAAATAATTGTCGTTGAAATAATAACATTTATATTATGATATATATTTACTTTCATCTGAATAACTTTATGTTCTCGTAGAACTCGACCCAATCCAATAACTATGTGAACAATAGTTATAACACGTTCAATATCTTTATTTATCAGGAATTTTTTAAGTAAAATTTTATTTTTCTGTTATTTAAATTAATAAAATGAAAATACGAACTGTAATTTTGGAATCATTTGAAAATGAACACTTCATTCTTGTTCAGAAGAAAGAGAGGATGATCGTGACATTATTTTTAATATTTGTTACATATACTCAGCAAGAAACGATGTAAATGGTGCCATTAATTTTGTCATTGTTAAAAGAATATAACAAAGTACATTTAATGAAACAAGACTATCATTCCATAATATTCCACCCTAAATAAATAATTGTTTTTTATTTATCTTCAAATAAAATTTAAAAAAAACAAGAGCTTTATTTCAGTCGTTAAAAAGAGTCTCATAGAATTATTGATTAGATTTTGAATAAATTGCATAGCTATAAAGACCATAAAAGAAAAAGAAGCATATTTTTACCTAAAATCGTTTCTTGTTTAATTTGACATACTAATTGGTTAACATATTAATATATTTAACAAGAGAAGGTGCTATCGTATACAGACGATAAGCTAGAATAGAAAAGAACAGTTATTTCTATGTACTGAAAATATATCTAAGAAAAAATCATTCTATGCAACAAACTGATTTGTTCCATTGCATCCCATGGAACAATTCGTCAAATAAACAAGATTTTCTTTAAACTTAAAATCGACTTCTATGACTTGTTCTATCTAATTATCTCAGTTTTTCTTCTCTGTGCATGCTTATATAGGATATTAGGATTTTACCGAACCTCTCATGAATACGATATTGAATTCATCGGATTGATTACCATCTACATTTACTGGATTCTGTTAGAACTTATATTCTATTTTTTCTTCAAGAGAGAGGATTCCACTACCATACCTCTACATATTAGAAAGTAATAGCGTTTGTTTTTCAGTGCATTTTTTTATCATGAATTGTCAGTTTCTAGTGTATTTTTACTAGTGTTATACAATGTTAGAAATCACTAGAAATCTTTTCATATCCTGGAGTACATTTTAGTAGATTTCTTTATATTTTTGTGAACTCCAATGAAATTTATAATAGTTGAAATTGTAGATAAGCCATCAGAAACTGCTACCTACGTATGACTTCTTTTTACATGAAAGTTTACAAAAAAGAAATTGTATTGAAAATTGATTTTAACCAAAAATCCTTTATAACCATGTCTCTTTATTCATACAATCAAAATTTATGCTAAAGCATGCTAAGAATATATGATACTATCAAAAATATAGAACTCCATATGAAAAAACAAACAGTCTTAGGATTCATTATCTCAACTTCTGAAAAAGATTTTAAACTTTTTTTGTTTCATGAAAAATAGTAGAAAAAAAGACAGCAACGAAATTATTGGTTTCGAAGGAAGAAGATGAACAATGAAGGTATAATAAATTCGATTAGTCATCGCTCAATAAAGTTTTTTCTTTGGTTCCAGTCCTGATTACTTTAGTTGTTCGAGTCTTCACACCGACTTTGGTCTTGATCTACAAAAAATTCGTTCCAGAATTTATTCATGCCACATATAAAATAGCTTTTCAATACCTGTTTTTTTTAATTTATTTATTTAGTCAACAGTTAACACTTGTTGTGATCATTTCTGGTGAATTCTGATTCTGATTCATTTCTACTATTAACTTAAATTCCAATGCTAGCAACTGGTCTATGTTGTGGATCTAACTCTGATAGTGATACAAATGACCGAGATATGGTACTTTTTCTTTGTATTACACGTAGCTTGGTGCGTGACGAAATGTTTTTTTTTTGGTTCCAGTGTTAGTAATATTTAACCTTTTACTGTTTCTCTCGATTTAGAGAATAATATTGCAGAATTTATTCGCCTCAAATTTAAAATGATTCTTCAATATTCGTCAAGAAAAATAAACAAATATTATAATTTAATAAAATAAACATACATGAGCAAACTAAGAAAATAATGGTATGTAATGCATTTCTTGCAAATGAGAACCTTTGAAACTACAAAATGATATATATATATATTTTTCAATTAATTTTAATTATAATTCAATTCACCTTTCGAGTACTTGATAAGTATCAGATTGTTTTATAAAGTTCATCTAATTGTTTTTCCATTAGTATAAATATTTCATTGTTAGTTTTGTCTAAATAACAATGAATAAAACGTAATAGAATGACAAAAACAAAAAGAAAAAAATTAATTATACCACTGGTAGACCATGACAATCTAAGAAGAAGAAAGATATGTATTTAAAGATTGAAAAAAAACATTTATTCGTTACTCCAACCAAATCGTCGTTCAACATGATGTCCTATTTGATAAGCCCACCGAGTAACTGTATCCTTGATTGTTCTGACTAAAATGTGATCATAATGTAGAAAACCGGTAAAAGGTAGACCTTCAATGATCAATTTATTTTCTTTAGTTCGAATAGTTCTTTTACTTTGGTCAATCTTTTGATAATTAGTTACTTTTTTCAAATGCATTAATTTGTTTCCAATAAGTTAAAATATTCCTTTCATTGTTACTCTATTGAAGTATTTCACTGGAGGGTGTAGGTGTGAATGTGAGTATAGTTCTTTTCTGCATCCAACGTTCCACACCTACACCCATACCCTATACTCTAGAAAGACTTTTTCGATACTTTTGAAATGAATTTCCTCAGTCGGTAGAACAGCATTCGATGCAGAATTCAGTTTTGTATCTGATTCATATATTTTCACTTCATTCCTAATGGATAAACAGTGCTTTATCGGAAAAAAAAACTTTCTGAGCATCAGGAAAAGCGGATGTTGTCGCTTCCGTTGAGGGTGAAAACTTTTTCCTTGAAACTTTATGTAGTAAGTGTCCTTGCTATGGACTAACTCTGTTGTTTCGAAAGTATTTCTCACTGAAGCATATTCATGAATACTAACATGTCTCTTTTAGTCACTTCCGAAACACGGCAACATACCAATCTCATCTATGATAAAAGCGAGTTTGTTTACGCAGTACTTTTAGAAAGTACATTTTCCTAGCTATACGAGATTTAAACAATGTGTAATGATGAATAAATTAGTTGGAACGAAAATCTGAACATTCGGAAAACAATTTATTGCTACACGATTATTTCAGCGAGGTCGTTATATTTCAACAAGATTGGATTGTGATCGAATGCTTACGCATTATCCTCCGAGAGAATTGCTATTTAATCGAAATTTTGAGACTCATTCTTTTAGTTGTTTGTTCATATCGTGACAAAAATCACAAAAAAACAGTACTTATTAACTAGTTTTGGAAGTACATTCATTTCAAACAATCTCACCATGCGAATAATGAAATCATTCGGCCTAAAGTATGAAAGCTACAAGTCTCTGAAGAGGCCAAGGCTACATGTATTGATAGGTAATCGAATTTTTGTACTTTTCTGCACGTTCAATATATAAAAACACACTGCGTTGCAGACATCCTTTGAGTGCGGGTGTGGATGTAACTATTGTACTCGCCCGCAGAACTACACCCCACACCCTTTTGGTTCGAAATTTTAATTTGTATCTAAAAAGAAATTCTGCTTCTAAACTTGAGCATAACATTTTGTAATAATATTAGAGAATATATTTAATTTTTCTTGCACTCAATTAAATCTTTATAAGAATGGAACTTTTTTCTGACCCAATCTGAACATTGTACTAATACTTACATATGAGAATTGAGCTTTTGAGAGTTATTCATAGATAAGAAATTATGTGTACATTTAATATTGCTAAAAAAAATGACTGTCACCCCATGGCTACTGTTTATATTGAAATGTGCCTTTCATAGATGTTTAAATTTGATTCAAAGATAATTATCTAAACATTATCGTTTATACTTTATAAAAAAAAAGCTTAAAAGGTAAAGGACTTTGTCGGATAAGATGATCTATCAAGAATTGAAAAACTAAATATACCATCTTGTAGAGAATTCCGAGGCGCATCGAATGGTATAAGTTATGATGAGTAAATTTACTGATGGAGATGTAGGGCTCAAAGTGGTGATAAATAGCTAATCAGTATAGTCCCTATAAGTTAGGCGAAGGATGTCGTAAAAAATATTCTCTATATACGGTTATGTAGAGGTTTTGATGGGCTACAACTTTATATATCTAACATCTGTAATCACATAATATTCAGAAAAAGAAAAAAGATGAATTCTTATCAACTTGACACTGTTTTTGACCAAAAGTGATAATTATAGGCTCACTGTGATGAATGATGTTAGCCTCAAGAAAAGCGACCACTTGTCAAACTTTGTCAGAAACTGCGCCTTAGAGAGTGCTACAAAATGCACTATTTGGTGATTCTCTAATGTTGGTGCGAGATCCCTAAAACTGCTTTGTATTGGGAAATTATTACGTATTTTTGCATCAATTTTCCCCTTTTTGAGACTATATTTCAATATTTTAACTATGAAGAATCGGTTGTCA